AGCAGCAGCAGCAGCAGCAGGAGTAGTCGTAGTAATAGTAGTACTGGTAGTAGTATAGTGGTAGTGGTAGTGGCAGCGGCAGCGGCAGCGGTAGTGGTAGTAGTATCGTACAGTAGTAGTAATACGAGGTACGTAGCGGCGCAGCGGAAGCAAACGTCGAAACTAGCAGAAGGACTGGTAGTTGCGGATGCAGTCGCTCGACATAAACTAGATCGCCCAGCACAACAGCCGATCAAACGACGACAATGGCGATCATGACACGGCAACATGCAGCCGCTGAAAGAGTAGAAACTTCATCGCCTCTCATAGGGGACCGAACAATTTAGGTGTTGCCAACATATATGGTCCTTCCGTGCAGCGGCCACAGATCGCAAGGCGGCATTCTCCCTTGCGATTATGAAACCCTCCGAGCTTCCTGGTTGGTCTTGGAAACTGCCAGGATGGCACTTCAAGCAGGCGGGCATGCCCCTGATGGGCGCATACGTCCTTGGATGGTCATGACATGCCGTGGGCGTGCGGGAAGGGGGGGGCGGTGGGCGGGGAGTCTGGCCTTTGAAGTTAGGGGCAAGATCCTTTGCAACCAGACAAAATCAGAATGATAAAGCCAAGGGAGAATGGGCATAGTCCAAACGGTCTTCTTCACGGGACAAGTGCTCCGAACATATCTTTGCCACCCTAAACCCTAAACTGTGCCGAGCAGAGTGACCCGGGCTCGCATGGCTCGCACTCCAAGGTCTCTATGGAGGAGATTGTGGCACGCCGCGCATAGCCTGCACTTTTCGTCGAGGCGAAAAGGCATTTGAGAATGTCTTCTGTGTGCATGTAGAGGGATGCAAAGCTTGCAGCTGTTCTTACCTATGCATAACTCTATCTATATATATATATATATGTAATCATATGTATATGTAGAACACCTCTGTGTGTGTGTGTGTGACCTTGTTCGTTTGTGCGCGCGTGTGTTAATAAGCTTTGTGACAACTTGCGTTGCTGTACTGTGCATATCCCGATGAAGAAGGCTTTCACATGACATTCGACATTCGCTCGTATCCTCATTATATGCACCTATGCGCCTATGAACCGGCGTGTCCATCTAGGCATGCCGGTGCCTGAGTTTACACGCGTGCGCATCTCTTGCAACAGACCTCTTCGTCATGGACAGGGGGAGAGGCATTTGCAAATAGTTTTACGTTCACATAGAGCTTGGGCTTTTGGGGTATACTTCAGTTGAGGCGTCTCTTACATATTGCCCAACATGTTCACACACCCCTTTGTACACTCACACCATGCGTTCATCGCACCACTCCCCCATAAACGCCACAGACAAGAGCCGAGTCTGCGGGGGCTCACTCTTCCACATTACGGCCCTTGGCCGCTTGCCGGGTTTCCTGATTGATAAATTCTTTGCTGTCCTACTTTTATGCTGCTCCCGAAGGAAATTGCTCCTAACCTCGGCTTTGCCCTTCGCTCGAAACTGTGTAAACGCAAAGACTCAATTCTGAAGTCCTAGCTGGCTTTGCTAGCACCAAGTACTTGTCTTGTTACGATATTTATTAATTATCCGTTTACGTAGTCATTGGTCACCGAACTCCCTCTCAGGGCCCTCCAGGCCAAGTCGAAAGACTGAACCTGCTTGCTGTAAAGCCCTGCACTCTCATTCACACAGAAGGTGCCTGGCTCACAGTCCGTCAACATCGCCGTGAAGTTGTGGGACAAAGGTTGGTGAGTCAACGACGCAGGGCTGAGTTTTTTTGTTGGGTCTTTGGGGCTAGTGTAGGCCCATACCGGACCTGAAGCAATCGAGGTTTGTCCGGGTTTGTAGAGCTGCATCGATGAAGTCCCCGATACAATATGATCAAGTACCTGGGCCCGAATCTTCGATGAAACGCGATGAGCCGAATTGACTAGAAGTGGCTAGTGCTGAATGCAGCGAAAACCCTCTCTGGCAAAAGCACCAAACTGCCCAAAAGCTCTTGACTGCCGTGGTCGAGGTTTGGGTTGTCTTGTCACGTGTCCGCGCTAGGAGCTGTGTGCAACAGAAGCTGCGGCTCACTCGACTCCGCACTCAACCAGAGCTTGTTAGGATCAGGCAGGTGGGATTCTGAGGCAGTCCCTGACCGTCAAAAATGATTATAGCCTTCTTCCCCAGGCTAACCAAGTCTTGCCCGCATTGGGAAGAAAGGCCACAAGCGAGGTCTCAGCGATTCTGGAATAGCGAGGAATCAAACGACGCCGGTGAGCACGACGACAACGACTATGACTGTCCACTGCTTTGGCTACAGCTGCTGCTGCTACTGCTGCTTCTTCTTCTACTACTACTACGACTACTACTACTACTACTACTACTCCTCCTCCTGCTGCTGCTACTACTACTGCCACCACCACTACTACAACTACAACTACGACTACTACTACTCCTCCTCCTGCTGCTGCTGCTGCTAGTACTTCGACGACCATTGCAACAACTACTGCGACTACGACTACGACGACGACTACGGCTACCACTACCACCCCCAGAGTAGTACTAATACAGCGACGGCGACGACGATAATTGCCAGCATGGTTTCTGTTGCTGGTGCTACACGAAGCCGATCTCGGAACCAGGCTGGCACACCAAGTTCTTTTGAGCAATGTCCGCTGCATGCTCTCAGCGTCGGACTTCTTAGCCCTCCGACAGCCCTGGCGTTTGGGAAGAGCCCCGAACCCTTGGTCGACTTGGCTCGATGTAGAGAAGACCAAAGCTTGTGCTTGGGATTTCTATGGAGCTTGTGGGGAGAGCTGGGGGCTGCAACAAGCTTCCTTCAGCCAGGGCCCCAAAGCGGGACTAAACGCAGCCAGGCTCAGACTGATTGAGGCATGGCAACCTCAGGACCTGTGGGGGATCACGTTGGTTCTGGGGCTTCTGGGGAGGTGGACCCACCGAAGACTTCAAGGCCATCGATCTGCGTCTATGACAGCTGGAGCTATTGTTCACCTCCAGTTTGGAATGAAGTCGCGGGGTTCCGGTCAGTCTGGATAGAGCCACAGTCTTCAAACACTCGTGAGTCTTCTAAAACCCACAAACCTGAGTACCCAAACCCGAACTCCAAAACTCAACACCCGACGTTTCAGCGGGTTCACCCATGCCCCCCCTCAACGAACAAGCTGCAGCCCAGAATACATGTAGAGGCCCAGAGGTTCAGAAGACGGAACCGTGAAGCCAGGCAGGCCCCTGAGCTCGTCATTTCGCAACTTGGCGCAGGTCGCACGACGAGGTTGGCGCTCAGACTTGACAGGACCAGCAGAGTAGCATCATGGATCATGACAATGGCCCAATGTTATCACTCCGGATCGCAAGTAACACAACGCTGCGGAAGATGTGGCAGTGATGCAAACCATCGTCCTAACCATGGGCCATGTTGTGATCAGAACTGACATAAGAGCCACTCGCGCAGGACACGTCAACTTTGCGAGAAGTTCTTGAGCGCTAGCCTTCTTCTGCTATGCAAGCTCTGAGTCTTGAGCCTTGCAAGAATACATTCAAAACGATGGGCCTGGGCACGGGGATGAATCGAGCGGCGCCTAAACGAGAGTTTGCACAGGGCCTTCTTATGGATGGAGCTCCCCCCCCCCCCTAAAATACGAAATAAATTGAGACCTCTGTGCACCACGTCTGGCCCTATAGAGACCCCTACTTACACCCCATTAAACCTTGAAGCCTGCATAAAGACCCGGACCCGACACAAAGACCGAAATGGTATTGGAATGGTCCTCGAAACATCTTCACTTCTTCGATATACGTACTACAGCCGGACGTTGTTGTGCAGGGTCTTCCACTCAGATTACATCAACTCTCCAACGTACTTCGCAACCCTAAATACCAAACCCCCAACACTAAACCCTAAACCGAAACGCCCTACATGATTCTCTGCTTCAGCTTCGAGCTCAGCTTTCCCGAAAGACTTGGGCAGTTTTCCAAACTAGGGTCCTTTTTATAAGGTGCCGTTCAATCTTTGGGACTGAAAAAAGGGCCCTAAATTGAGAGAGCTGCCCACTTGATGTACTGCGTCTTCTGTTTTGCGGCACCGTGGTGACATCCCCACCCAGGCCAGGATGGAGGAGGCAGCCAACAAAGTCTCTTGCGCTTTGGGTCTTTTGAGATTTCAGGGTTCCTGGTTACGTTTAGGCTCCAGGGTTTAGTCACTTAGTCTGGCTGGGGCGGACCCGGATGTGAGTAGGCCTTCAATGCTCGACTGATAAAGATTGGGGAGCTCATGGTGCATAAGATGCACGAGTAGTGTCAAGCGGTTCACAAGCTGCCCCGGTTTGGAACATGACATCTCGACTTTCTTACGACCGGTGCAGCTAAACCCGGTTGGAGCCCTCTTTATGCAAGCTCAAAGACTAAAACAGTGTTGTTCACAAGGGTTTCACAGCTGTTACGCGGGACTTTGCCATAGGCTTGGCGCCTGCTGTTCGTCTAGTCCGCACAGAAACATGAGCCAGGCTTGATGTGGAAAATTGCCCACGCCATCGATCCTTCCTAAGCTACGCAGGATGCGGGGCTCAGGAATACCGACCTCAAAGCTAGCTAAGCTAACATCTTTTTTGGGCTGTGGCCCGGGGGTCGAGGGAAGTGTCTCCCTAAGAGGCTGGAGACCAGGGCGGGTGCCGGAGGATTTCAGGCCCGCCGCCCCTGCTCAAAGGTGGCGCGCCTCACACTTCTCAGATCTTGGAAACGAACAGGCCCAGCTGCTGCAGGCTCTCGGGCCTGCCAAGAACTCAAGCGATCTGGAATCATAAATCTCCTCCTCTTTGCCAGGGCTTGTGGCCGGGCAAAGAGATGAAGGCGAAAGCACTTCAGGTTTTCGGCAAAAGCCACACGTCTTGTGGCAGCTTTGGCGCTACCTTCCCTACCCCCGTGCAAGCCCCTGATCTTCCAACTCGATCGGAGGGGCCTCTTCGGAAACATCCAGCACCTCCCTCCACACTGAAGGAAGACGAAGGAAGACGATGTGCCCAGCCTTACAAAGTTGTCCGACAGCCGCAGAAGCGTGAGGCCGTGCATCGCATCTGCTCCTGGCACGCACTTGATGCTTGCTTAGACTCCGGGCCGAGCTTTAGGCAAGGGGACGGCGTGAACCTGCCTTCCGCCTAGACTATGGGGAATACTTGCAAGAAGATCAGCCACGATGCCGCAAGAGTCCTAGCAACACTTCGGAAAGTTTAAGTTTAAGGGTCACCCTGCTCTTCCACAAAGCATTAGAGGGGCTCAGGGTAAAATCGGCTGGGCTCCAAGAAGCGCATCTCCTGAGCTCTACAACCCTGCAACATCCGAGCCCAAGGCTGCAAATCCTGCTGTGAAGTGGGGGAAACTGTTTGGTTTTTCAGAGCCACCGACTTCCTGCTAGGAGGAGAGTGAGCTTTTAGGGTTTAGGGTCTAGGGCCCTAGGGCTTAACGGTTGAGCCCTTTTTTGCTTTCAAAGGTCCTGGGGTCTAGGGTGCAGCGATCCAGTTTCAGAAATCTCGGACTTCATGGCTTCGACAACATTGATAGTGGGGTGCTGGGGAAATGGTGGGCACGGGCCTGGAGAGAAACTTCGAATCTGCTTCTCCATCTGCTTGAAGGCCCAGTCGCCGGTAGCGATGTCAAACTCCAAGGCATTCTCACCTTCGGGGAATGGACCATCATCAGGACCAGGGTGTAAAGCTTACTTGTTGAAGGAGGTTGTCAGTTTGTGTGCGACCTGGTGGCTCGGCATGATAGGAAATAATGAGCTGAAACTTGCTTCTGGACCAAGGGTGCTTATGTTGCAGGGACGCAAGCTTTCGGGTTCAGGATTAGCTTACAAGTCGCTGGCTCCAGAGTCCAAGGCCAAGCTTGAAGAAGCAAGGCTGCAGGCCTGAGCTTATGCGGAGTTCTACGTATCTGCACGTGCAGGCCACCAGAACTTCAATCGCAAACAAGTCCAACGATACGCGGCCCACCTGCCAGGGGCACCTGGTGGAAAATACATGCTTTGCGCACTTGCGCGATGAGGTCCTGCAAGGAGGAGTGGCTTCGGGTAAGTTGGCTATCTGCAGGGTTGGGACAACTGATCGGGGCATAAATGGAGGAGTCTGGTTCGTGTTGAGAGCAAAAGAAGCAAGGCCGACTCCCCAAGGTCAGAACAGACACCAAGCACCAAGAAGCAACACCAACTCCGAGAGTTAATACGAACTACGCCTCAAAGCTTCGTACCTAAAGCCGATAGTTTGCCACGCCTCTGGTGCAGAGAGCGCCTTCGGCACACCACCTCGAAGCTCAGAAACACATTGAACTTCCCACAAGCTTGGGGGTCTCTTCGGGCATGACAGATGCTGACCCAAAGCCAAAACCAGCCGAAGAAAAAAGAACAGAACCCGGGCAGCATGACCCGAACTTTTCACAGGGACAAGGGGCCGTTGGAGTCGTTTGTCATCTCCATGCAGGTGAAATTGAACAAGATGGGCCTGGCACAGTGGAAGAAAGCCTCTCTCACGGTTTCTCCACCGCGGGCTTTTGTAACAACCTGACCGTTAACTATGATGAAGTTCGCAGCTCACTCAATGCCCCAACCGTACTCCCGAAGAGCAAACAAATACGACTTAAGACTTAAGAAGTACCGCCGCTCCGACCCCCAATCCGCGCCGAAGTGACCTCTTCGCGTCCTTTGACGACTCGGCGAGCATCTTCGCGATCGCCATGTAGGCATCGGCCTCAACAGAAACGTTCCAGGGCTCAGGGTTCGGGCAGTCCCATTTGGCGGCGATATTTCGCTGCAGCACTATCGCTTTGGCAGCGGCTTCCGCCGGGAGACAACTCCGTCGTCAACGTCTACTGGGTCTGCGCTTTGCACCAAATCAAAAAAGCACATGGTTGCAGGGCGAGGTCGGACTGACATGCAGCGGTCCAACCTCCAGAGATTCCAGGCCACGAACATGAGTTCGAATACTCGTTAAGTACCCGTCTCCGAGTGCTTCAAGGTAAAACGTACGAACAGAAATTCTGGCCGGGAACTGCTATCCTACAAATTTCAATTGCGAAGGCTTTTGCTGATGTTAAAAACGTGTCTCGTTCTTCGGGTAGTGTGTCCTATCGCCACGAAATGCCGAACGATTGCGACTCACCATTGAAGCTGGCCCCCTGGCTCTCACATGACGGCCCCAGGGCAGGACCGAGGCCCGGACGGCTTCACTAGTGCAGCAGTTGTAGCCGGCGCAGGCCTGGCGCATGCCCAGCACGATCCATGCAGAAAAACGGATGAAATGACCGCATGGAGTAGCAATAGCAGTAATTCGTGCCTACAGTACGTACCCGGGGGCCATAACCGCCACGTCGCAGCAAAGCTGGCTTTACCGAGGGTGTTGGGCTCCTGGTCCAAGTCCTCACTTTGACCTGCTGCTTAGCCCTTGTTAAGCAGGACTCACTGCCCGACAGAACCTCGTTTCGGTGTGGCCTTGTGACGCCAGATTCGGGAATCGGAACCGGAACCGGGAGTTCAGGGACCCCCAGCGGTGGAGGAGGATTGGCTACATGCAGCAGTTTGAGCTCCATGCCCAACTGCACGCTCTGACACGAGTTCCCTGCAACTCTAATCCCAAGGTATCCCTTGAACGTCCTGCCCTGTAGCACCTCGGTCGCGCGGGAAGGATGCGTCACCTGGACTCTGGACTACACAATGTTGATGGATTCAACTCCTACTTTCTCTACCTTTGCTTGCTGGGACAGCCAAAGTGGGGGGGGCGGGGGGTTGCAACAGGTCGATTCTTACGAATTTGCTGTCCAGCTGGTCGGAAGAAGGACCCGTTTTAAAGAAAAGACGGCTTAGTTTAGGTCGCCATGCAAATTTCTTCGGGTTGCCCGCAAGACATTTCCGTGTCTCCATGTCTGTGACTTGGATCTGTGATGATTTGTGCGCCTTGTCAAGGGCTCCGGATGAAAAAAGGGCCGGGGTTGGCGAATTGCAATGCTTGGATACTCATGGTCCACGAGCAATTAAACTACGTTGCCATCTGTTTCGAGAATCTCCAAGTAAAGCCAGCTCGCCTACAGGACTTTACGGAGCTGGGCGGTAGAAGTGCTGCTTCCTCAAACGCCTGCGACTTCATGCATAATGACACACTAACAGTACTAACAGAGATGCACGCATGCATGATTGCATTGCGTTGCATTGCATTGCATTACATTTCATTACATTACATTACATTACATTACATTCCCACATACCTACAGACATCCATACACACCTACATACATACATACATACATACATACATACGACGTAAATACGTACATGCATACGTACATTTTGGCAGTCATTTTGGCACTCGCGCTCGACGTCGTCAGGCGAGGTGCACATACGTACATACATACATGCTTGCATGCATACATGCCGCCGTACCATACCATACCCCGATCAATGTATGTATATGTATATGATTCATACGTACATACACATACACAAAGTAAAACAGAGAAAACACAAAAAGATATTACAACACAATACACGATGACATGATATGCTAGTATACGAGTAGTGAGGTTTAGCTACATGCCAGTATCTGTTGGCAGACAGATAAATAGATGATAGATGGGCATATGAACAAAGCCTACCATCCTGGGCCGGGGACGTGCCAATGGAGGCCCGAGACTTTCACCGACAAGCAGAACTTGTCCGCAGGGTAGGACTCAGACGATGTCCCAAGGTCAAAGCTTAGGGGTTCAGGGGTCTTGGGGCTTCAACGGGCTCAGCACAGGATCGGGTAGAAAATATAGGCTTTGGAGCTGGTACCTCGGAGATAGGAAATGGACTCAGAAGGTGGATGCTTGGGCCATCTTTGGGCTATAAAGGTGTCGACGAACTCTTGCAAACTGGTTTAGGGCCTTTAGGGTTTGCGCTCTCCCAACTCGGAGCCAGGCGGGGTCTATCAGGTGCAGGGCGGCGTGACACAGTAAAGCTTCCCATGACTACTGCTTAGGGTTTAGTGTTCTACATTGGGACAGCCTAAAAACCCTAAACCTATAGAGACACGACAAGCCTGGCCAATGACACGGACGCATGGCGACAAGCGCAATTGCCGGGCTTGCAGTCACGTCCAAGACACAAAAAAGCGGCATAGAAGGAAGTATATGCATTGTAATATAACATAAAGGTACCGTAATATTATAAATAATAGGATGATTTCAGATAATAGGATAATGTAAATTTCAGATAATAGAATAATATAGTGCAACAGTATAAAATGATATACGCCTTACGCAAGCCCGACCCCCGACAGCCTCCATCGAAACATCCGAGACCCTCACTGAAAAAACCCAGCCCGCACCTGCAGCAAAGGTCTATGTAACATGTACCAAAGAGCGCATGCTAAAGGCATGGGTCAATACTGCTTTCTGACAATTGAAAACTGGGATCCATGACCCTTGAAGCCTAAACTTTAAACTTTGAACCCTCCAAGAACACCTCCACTGAGGCTTTGACGCCCACTCGATCGATGGCCTTTTTCGCCTCGGAGAGCACGTCTCTGCCTGTCGTTCCGCGCTGTCGCGTCACAACAATGCAAGGCGTGACTTCATCGCAGCAGGTTTAACAAGACGAAGCGACTATACTTCTTAGGGCTTAGGGTTTAGGTTTAGGGCTTAAGGCTTGAGGGCTTAAGGTTTAGCTTTGATGCGGGTTTGAGTCCGCTGGCGCTGGGTGTCAAAGGCGTTGATGAAGTGGCTTCCCGTCCTCTAGCCAGCCTTCGTGGACCGGAAAAACTGCACCTTTACTCCGATGCAAGAACCTGGAAATTACACAGCCGAAAGAGGTTTTGAATGAACGCCGTTGAAGCCCCAGCCGGCCGTGACGAATGAGCACCGAAGAGTACCACTCGAGGAAAGCCTGGTCAACGCGATAGATCAAGACGCCAGCTGAGAGCTTTCGTGCTTGAAGCGTATAAAGATGCATATAAAACTTGACGATATGCTGAGAGTGTCGGAGATGCGGCGATGCAAGGGGCTGCAGGGGCTTCCCAACTTGCCACCACGCGCCCACTTGCGCCACTGGCCCCACCCTACTGGCCCCACTCTCGCCCCCACCCTCAATCGCCCACTCCTATTTCCCCACTTATGTACCTCTCGCCTCGCCTCACAGGCGGAGCGGGGGCCCGTAACTTCCCTTTCATGCGGTCGCGATGCATCATGCCAATGACAACAATATAGTTTGGGGCATTTAGAGGTTTCGGGAGCCTTTGCCGTTCCTGGCAGGGTTTCAGAGTTCAGAATGAACCTCATAGGGCATCGGACTTGTGGATGCGAAGATTGCTCGTTGCTCCCTTTTACCTGTGGCCTGTGGCTCAGGGCGTAGGGATGCGTGCTTGTGGCATTGGACTTCCCCAAGCCCTCAGGCCAGAAACTGTTCGTCGAGATGTACTCCAGCATCTCACAAGGCAAACAATCAACCATCAATCAACATGCTGTAACAAGCAGCCTACACATGGTCGGTGCGGCGTCGTGATTTGATCGCCAGCAGCCCGCCGCATTAGGACGTGTTACCAATATGCTGTTTCGACTCCCTCAGCTTGGGTGGGCGTGGTAAGTCGAGGGCCTTGGCTATGAGGAACATAATCACCCTATTAGCGCGAGCTACAAGCTTGGCCTGTCTTTTATCGAGACCCGAGACATCTCAAGCCAACAGGCGGTCCTTCGGGGCGCCGCTTCGGAATTCCATGCCAGGCAATTTGAAGATAGGGATGTCGTCCGGCCTCGGAACGCCCAAGATTTCAGTTGCGGCTTGGGCTACCGATGCCTGAACTTCCGACACCCTGAAGCTGCAGAATTCAGGGAACTCTTCTTGTCCTTGCGAGTCCTCCGTGAGGATCACACGGGAGCCAGTGAGACGACGCTTTGGACTGTTGGCGTCTAATCAATATCGGGTTCCATGCTAGGGTCAAAGAAACGGCGGGGAGGTGCGGGGACCATTAGAAAGTAGACCGAGGGCAAATCCAGGGTCCCCAAACAAGCAATCACAAGCAAATCCGCTTTGTTAAATAACATCTTCAAAACCTTGCAGAGGGCTCTGAGACTCTGAGCATCTCTGAGCACTGCGGCATGGCATTCTGGTCCTCCGGCAAAGACTTCGGAGGCTCTGTCATCCCGGCGTCGTCCTCGCTGCTTCTTCGGGGGTCGACGAGCGTTCAGGATTTTGCTTCCAGCAGAACACATGCAGTGCCCTGGCGTGGTTTCGAGGATGATGCTGAAGTCGATGACATTGTGGGCATATCTGGTTATTTGCTTGCTTGCTTGCTTGCTTGCTTGCTTGCTTGCATTTGTGCTTGGCACAGTGTGCTTCAAGGCAAAACCCTGTGAGAAAGGCGGGTGTGCATTTTCTACCTGTCTTGCCCCGCAAACTGCGAAACTTGCCGCGACTTCATGCTCGACCTGCGTTCAGGGTTTTCCTGAAAGCATGCCAGAAATGAATTACCCCGGCTGCTCCCTACCGCAGTAGCGACAGCCAAGGTCATCATCGGTGGAACGAGCATGACGAACGTGGGTCGGCGACACTTCGGCGCTTATCCATCATACTCGCCCTCCTCTTCGTCAAACTCGCCTTCCTCCTCGGCGGTGGCATCCTGGTACTGCTGATACTCCGACACCAAATCGTTCATGTTCGACTCCGCCTCAGTAAACTCCATCTCGTCCATGCCTTCGCCGGTGTACCAGTGCAAGAAGGCCTTGCGTCGGAACATGGCCGTGAAGTACTCGGCCACCCTCTTGAACATCTCCTGGATGGCGGTCGAGTTTCCCGCAAAGGCGACAGCCATCTTGAGACCTTTTGGGGGGATGTCGCAAACGGACGCCTTGATGTTGTTGGGGATCCACTCCACGAAGTAGGAGGAGTTCTTGTTTTGGACGTTAAGCATTTGCTCATCCACCTCCTTCGTAGACATGCGGCCACGGAAGAGGGCTGCCGCGGTGAGGTAGCGGCCGTGGCGGGGGTCCGCAGCACACATCATGTTTTTGGCGTCGAACCTAGCTCTTCTGGGGGTTTAATGATGTGTAATGTTGGTAGCCTTTAGTGTGGATAGAGTTGTAAGCAAAGATAACATGCACTCAACAGGATCCTCGAGACATCTGTTGCGTCAGCTCGGGGACGGTCAGGGCCCGGTACTGCTGCGACCCGCGGGAGGTCAGCGGTGCGAAGCCCGTCATGAAGAAGTGCAAGCGCGGGAAAGGCACCAGGTTAACGGCAATCTTGCGGAGGTCACAGTTCAACTGGCCCGGGAATCGCAAGCAGCAGGTCACGCCGCTCATCGCCGCAGAGACCAAGTGGTTGAGGTCTCCGTACGTTGGTGTCGTCAGCTTCAGCGTTCGGAAGCAGATGTCGTAGAGTGCCTCATTGTCCAGCAGGAAAGACTCATCGGAGTTCTCCACGAGCTGGTGAAAGCTGAGGACGGCATTGTACGGCTCAACCACTGTGTCGGAGACCTTGGGCGACGGAATCACCGAGAAGGTCTCCATGATGCGGTCCGGGTACTCCTCTCGCACCTTGGAGATAAGCAATGTTCCCATGCCGGCTCCGGTGCCGCCACCGAGCGAGTGGCAAAGCTGGAAACCCTGGAGGCAGTCGCAACCTTCGGCCTCCTTGCGCACAACGTCAAGCACCGAGTCGATGAGTTCTGCCCCCTCTGTGTAGTGACCCTTAGCCCAGTTGTTACCGGCTCCTGTCCTAGGTTCTCCAAGGGACTTTAGCATGATAATGATAAGGCCTAAGCAAACCCTTAAATAAAAAGGACAATGGTGTACTACTGGGGACCCTAGTGTCTGTCCGAAGACGAAATTGTCGGGGCGGAAAAGCTGACCAAAAGGCCCGGCTCGGACGGAGTCCATGGTTCCAGGCTCCAGATCCATCAGGACCGCGCGCGGAACGTATCGTCCCCCGGTCGCCTCATTGAAGTACACATTGATGCGTTCTAGCTGGAGGTCGGAATCCCCATGGTAGGTTCCCGTGGGATCGATTCCGTGCTCATCGGCGATCACCTCCCAGAACTTGGCACCAATTTGGTTCCCACACTGCCCACCCTGAACGTGCACGAGCTCACGCATGGCTGCAAGAAGCGGAAGGTAACGGACAGCAAAGAGACTGCTTGAGATTTTCGAAGGCGCTTCAAGCCGGACGGAAACGCTGGGAATCAGGTGCCGCGCATGCAGAGACGGTGCACAGGTCAGTAGGCGCAGGCGAGCACCGGAAAGAAACTTGTGCATGTGTGGGCAGCTAGTTGGGCAATGTCGAATAGCCAGACAAACACGCAGACGGACGGACAGACAGACAGACAGACAGGCCTACATGCATGCACGCATGCTTGATACCTGCATACAAGCATACATGCATAAATACATACACAAATACACACATACACACACACATACATACATACATACATACATACATACATACGTACATACGTACATACATACATACAGACAGACATACATAAATACTTAAGACATACAGAGATACATGCAGACTTACTTCCCTACATGCACACATATGTAATACATACACTTCAGACGCACCATCAATGACGGCTAGCAGAGCGATACGGGGCACAGGCGCGATGGGGGAATCGGCCGCTCGAAGGCGGCCCCCACTCCGCAGCGGATTGTTTAGCACGTGGAAAACATTACCCGAAGATCCAAAGTTGTAGGCGTACCCCTACGCTCGCATCATGTCCATGGAAAAGGATGCTGAAAGAGAACATGGGGAGTGGTAACACCAGCATCTCCCGTATTCACCATGCACCAACAGAATAAACCTCATCTGACGGTAAGCGACACGTCATCTGCACAGGCATGTTTCAGAAAGTGCGCCGCGGCAAGGAGTCGTCTTCAAGAATACAACACGAAGGTCAAGTTTGCCGCAGGTTTCTCGCGCTTACTGACTGCAAAAGGCGACACACAGCGTGCTCACCCTTACTATATAACTGTGGCCAGGAACCAAGTGTGATAAAGAAAACAACTGCGAGGAGGAGGACACTGTAAGAGGGAGCTCGGACCCTTCGCCGCAAAACCGAACAATGACTGTGAGCACGTCTGCGAGCACGAGCGACAGTGGGAAATTGAGTCGTAGCATGAACGCTACTAGGCTTCGCCTTACAGCGAAGATCCTGCTGGAAATATACGGATCAAGCTCCAGCTGCCGTTGCAGCACCGGCAGCAGCCCTCGGCTTGTGAAGACATGCACCCAAATGTAGGCAGCATGTGCAAGAGAAGCAGAATGAGGACAGTGCATGTTCCACCTGGTGACTTGGCACCCCGGCTGGCCCAATCTTGAGCAGGCTTCATGGGGTACTCAACTGCCACACAGCCTCATCTCCGTAGCGACTGGTGGGTCGCCCAAGCAAAGCTTCAACGTCCTTCACCGCAGTTTGGGCGGCCAACTGTCCATCCACCATGCAACGCGAACTTACACTCAGCGGGCCCAGCTTACGCCCTGTGGCAGAGAGCATAAGGAACCAGCCCATGACGCACAGAAGGAGGTGGAAGCAAGACCCCAGAGACAATCCAGAGCCAGAAAGCCTTGATACATACTTACTTACTTACTTACTTACTTACTTACTTACTTACTTACTTACTTACTTACTTTCCTTCCTGCTCACTCACTCCACCCGTTGCTTGATTAAATACATACATATACAGGTACATACCTACCCACCTACCTACCTACCTACCTACCTACCTACCTACGTAGGTATGTACGTACATGCGTACATACGTACATACGTACAAATGCAGATACAAAAAACATACACACATGCAACATACATACAGAAACACATGCTTACCTTACGTTACTTTAGGTTACATGCAATAACCGCCCTATTTACATTACATTACATTACATTACGTTACGCTACATTGCTACATTGCAATACCTACCATTACGTTAGATTACGTTACATTACGTTACATTACGTTACATTACGTTACATTACATTATGACAGTATATTACATTACAACACATTACAACACATTACAACACATTACAACACATTACAACACATTACAACACATTACAACACATTACATCACATTACAACACATTACAACATTACACGCATTACATGCAGACAGTATGTATGTATGTATGTATGTATGTATGTATGTATGTATGTATATGTGTGTGTGTATGCCAATGCATCATAGTGCATAACAGTGCATGCCAATGTATGTGTTCATGCACGAATGTATAGATATAGCTACAGGTAAAGATATGTGTAGATACAGATGTAGATATTGAGTTGCTTGACATTTAGGTACCGATATAGATATAAGTGTTGATACAGAAACATATACACACACATATATATATATGTACATATTCGTATGTCTGTAAAGAGATATACAGATATACACGTATAAACATATAGGTATAGATATAGACATTGGATTTAAATAGAAAAACGGATTCAACTTAGATTTGCATATTTGATACATGCGCATGTTTCGCGTGCATTCATGTGTCGTCACGGATCTGTCAGGATGCAAATGCATGCCGATCTGCAGAGAACTGTGCTTTGTAGAGATGGTTACAGGTACAGAGATGGTCAACGAAAGCGAGAACCAAACATACAACAACCGAAAAGGAAAGTGACCGATGGAGACGTCGTCATGCCAAGCCGCCCCGTCCAGTTCTGACAACTTGAGAAGCATCTGGCTAAGGACTAAAATCGATATGCTAAGCATGCTTATACACCCGACCGGGTAAGGACATTCAGTGTGAAAAAAGGCATGTGCCACTGCCGTGAGTACAGTGGCCACTCACATCGGGTTCTCACAAGACGCTCTGTTCCTTGAGCATCTGCAGCATGCCCTTGTCGTAGGACATGGCAATCCCCACGCCTGGCCAGTTCCAGCCATTCGACCTCGGACGCGGAGTTCTCGCATCGAACAAGACTTGACTTGATTGAGGCTACATGTAGGGTTGAGGGTTAAGGGTTTCGACTCACACACTCGCAAAGCAGGCATGGCGTAGGGTTTAGGGTTTAGGGACTTGACTTGATTGAGGCTTTTCCAATATGCAGTGTACGTTTCACTCCAAGCAGAAGGTCCAGCAGTGCCCATCGGCCATGCTAGGCAAATCAGAAGCATCGCAGCATGAACTCACAAAGCGCGCCAAGCCCAAAAATCGAATCTCAACAAGAAGCTCCAACTCTCACTTTCCTCTTGGAGCTCCTTGCTCCGAACCCAAAACTCATCCCGAAGCAGCAACATTCTCGGGTAAACTGTCTGCAAAACTCTAGGCAGTGTCTGTGCCGAACTGCTTCTTTTGCTCTACTCAAGACCTGGAGACTCGGGCTGATACACTTGTCTGTAGCATTTGGGCTTTCAAGTCTTACAGTCTAGAACTTATAAGCTTCGCTGTTTCAATTTCATGATGAATACATGGGTCTCGCTTATGGTCGGGGCTCTAGAGAACGTTTTGTTTGGGATCAGGGCTTGACGCCCCATCATGCCGGTTCTGCATGGTCATGGGCGCTAGCTTGTTCAAGCCACAACTGCAGGAGAAGCTGAAGCAATATTCTTGCTACAAGGGTACATGTGGCCATTTCACCGTAGAAAAACCCTGAGCCTTCACGGTAGCCCTTGTCGTACCCCTCTAGAACCTTTATAGGACCCTTTCGGGAGCCCGGCATGAGGTAGGATGGGTAGCGCAGCTCGCCGCAAGGGCCCATACCAACCTGTCTTCCAGTCTATGCTGTGTGAGTTTTCCACCCGCTTGGCTGACCCGTTCACACAGGGAACACTCAAGAAGACACTAAGAGTGGGATTGGGGCCATTGGGGTTTGTCGGGCTATTCGACTACACGGCTTTTCGGCCACTGCATACTGCAATGATATGGAGCAGATTGTGAGCAAACTCTATTTCCGATGGTTCAGGCTCCTTCGAAAACAACTGTCATAGGGATGCATGATAGATCGCGAGAGGCTATAGCAAGCATTGATTGTTGATCGAAGGCAAGTAGAGCCATCCGGGCCCCCACTTCCATGTAATAATTACGACAGCCTGAATTCTGAATAGTTACCAGTAGTATTCCTTAGGGTTTTCTTTTGTAGCTATACTTTAACTTACATATGCCCCGTAACACCCTTCCAATGACGACGACCCCTACAGTAACCATTATACTTGATGCCGAGCCTTCCGATATGAGCGAGGATATCCTGGAAGGACCTGGAAGGACCCAGTGCCCAGTGCTTATGACCTTCGGGGCTGTCAGCACCCTCCTAGAAACCTTACTACTTGTTACGTATAGATACTTTCAGTACCGTGATAGAACTCTTACAGCACCCTTCTACAAGCCACTCTGAAAGGTTCTGTTGGAGCCCTCGTCCGCCTGAAGCTCACAGATGGTGGACCCAACATGGTTGCCCATGGCTCTGAGAAACGCGGCCATGAAGTCCTGTCACAGGCACAGGGATTTCATCTCCTTTTTCCCATCTTCAATAGGGATTAGGCTGCAGCACAAATCCTTTGAAGAAACCTCAGCTAGGCCCCCGCTCTCCAAAAGGGCAATGAGCAAAAGGATCCCATCATCGGATTTCGTCGTCGCACCGTACTGGATTTGCAAGGTATTGTGACTGCTGCTCACCCACACAGACCGATAGTGTGCCCAGCCGTAATCCTTCCTCACCTCCAAAAAAACATCAACTCAACCTCTAAGATCCCAAAAAGTTCCTAGCTTCACCTACACCCCTAGTAGCAACACTGGGTGTTAAGCAACCCTAAACCCTAAAATTAAACCACGAATCCTAGCTCCAGGGAAGCCCAGTCCCTGAGAGCGCAGGCCTGGTAGCACTGCAGCGCGGTGCGCGTGCCGCCAGCTGCGGTGGGAAAAATCGGCTGCCGATCCGCGGACAAGGAGAGGCAGTCCTTTTTCAGTGCGGCTGAGATGTAGGCTTTAAGGGTTTAGGGTTTAGGGCTTAGGGAATGTAGGCTTTAAGGGGTAGTCCCATGAGGGTCAGGGATTGGAACAGGGCCAAGCCGTTTCAAGATAGCCATACTGTTGCTTGATGCTCAAGAAGACTAAAGATGACAATGAATAGCACCGGGTTCCCACGTTCACCCTGGGAGCTCCGCCTGGCGATCCCAGGGCTGGGTAACTTATGAACGGAATGTAGGGCTAACAGGCGCTTAGGGCTTAGAATACGGGTAGGCCTCAGGGTCCTGGGAGTATTTTGCCTCCTGTATTGATGTCCGAGGGTGGTATCTTTCGGCGCTTAAAACTCGGACACTTTAGGCGAGCATATGTCTGTAGGTGGGCTAGCTGACAAGAAATCATCGAATCGCAATGTAAGGAAAGGAAAACCTACTAAAGGGAACGTCATCAGCCCAGACAGAAATGTGGCTTAGTTCTTGCCTCCTACTTCGCAAGGACGAGCCCGCTCGGCGGGGTTGTTAAGTCCGCAAGAAACAACGGTTGACATCAGCCCTGTTTCGATTCGACTTGATCAAAGGCTGCATTGCCTCACGCAATCAGTAGCAAGTCAGCAAAGTTGGAAGAGAAATGTCATGCTCGACCAGCGACACTGTGTGTTGGGGTTCAGGGTTTAGGAGCTTATAATTTATACAATACCACGTTAGTACCACTATGTTCTGCGAGGTTGTGCCAGCAGTGGACGTAGTGGCATGGAATCCCATGTCTGTGGGGGGGTGGGGGGGTGTTATATTTGAAGGGTGACGTCCAAAGCTCTTGTAGTAGGTTCTGGCGGTTCTGGTAATCAGGACCCTCAAAAGCCTCATCATTACAACAATCCCTACGTCCTCCAGCCCCTTACCCTGAGCTACAGGAAAGCGCCGTCCTAAAGAAGGAGTGACTTGGAAAACCTGCAGAATCCGCAACTTCAGGACTTTTGGGATGCGTCGTCTTGACAGCAATTCAGGTTGGCACTGTTCTGAGCTGGTGTCTTTGGACATTGCTTTCCTCCAGCCACAAGCTAGCCACAAAAATTCTCCGACATGCTACCTCCAAGAAACGGAAATCAAGTTGGAGCTACAACGTCGGAATGCCACCGAAGGGCTTCGGAAGTTACGCCCCACTTGCCTAAGCCAGCGGCGGTTTGGGCAGGTGCTGTTGAAAAAGTGGAGCCGGGGGGGGGGGGCCTAGGGGCCTCAACAACGAGGATGGGCATTTCGTGGGGAGTATATGGGTACTACAATAAGCGGGTTGTATTTTCACTTATTCCGGGCTGTCTAATTTGGGTTCGGGGTTCCGGCTCCGGGGTTAGACAGTCACTCTGAAGCCGGTTGTTTGCTGCGCCCTAGGGCTCAGGCCTAGTGGTACGACAAGCAACTGGCTTTCGCCTTCAGCGCCTAAGCCGTTGAGCCTGCAACCTTACGAGCTCCGCCCCACACGGCCCAATGCCTAATCTCTAGACTCTAGGACAGGGGCCGTACTACTTGCAGTAATGTAGGGGTTGGGGCATCTCACAGCATAAGAATCATTGGGACTCTGGCAGGGGGCGGAGGGATGGGATTGGAAGCCGTTCTTGAAACCATTTAACTTCGCGGATTGACGCCTTCAATTTCGGTTCCCTTGAAGACACTCCTACTGAACAAGCCCAGTCCAAGACCGGCGTGTCTCAGGGGCCACTTGCTGTTCATTGTCGCTCAAAGCTACGGGTGCCTTTGCGCCCTAGGATCAAAATCTTGCTCCAAGGATTTCGGGTGCAAGGTTTGGAAGTCAAGGGCTACGGAAGGAATTCATCGGAGCAGCTCTTGTAGAGGAAGCCTCCACTCTNNCCTTGTTCAGGCACCAGTCCTGCCGTACCAGGCTGGTGGCTTTTGCAAGGCTTCGCTGACTGCCCCACCAACAACTGAGATCTTGGTGTCAAAGAACTAACCCCCTGGGCAGCTACTTCCTGAGGCCCAATTGCCAATGCAGCATGATATGGCACAGGACAACATGATATAGCACAGCCTAGTAATGTATGATATAATGTAACTATAACATAGCACCATATCATATACCCTAAACCCTTTTGCATCCAG